TCATCATCATCATCACTCCTGAACAGACACTCAGTCTGTAACAACACGTCTGCACCTCTGTGTCCTGTGTCAGGGGGACAGTGGGGACACCAGTGAGATGATATCCAGCTCTCGTCTGGAACAAGCTGAATTTTACAGAAGCTCCAGACCCCTGCCACCCTCGGAGCACAGAAACGCCTCCTGCTCTCCAAGCTGGGGTCCGCAGGTCTGGGCCTGAGCGACCGGAGCCCCGCGGGTCAGAACCAGCCCTGGGCGACCCACTCGATCCCCGCACTGGCGTCCAGGCCGCCCTTTAAAATCAGGAGTGGGCAAGACTCTGTCAGGCCCGTGCTGGGGACCTCGCGAGGGCTCCCCCTCCTCTCGCGTGCGGCTCGCGCACAGGTCGGCTCTTTGTCTCTCCGGCAGCCTCCCCTCCCCCCCCCGGCTCGCGCCTCACCTACAGGGCAGCCCCCCACCCCTGCCCGCTCCGCCGGCCGCGAGAAACCCTCCACGCGGTGCTTTTTCCCCAGCCGCTTCACGGGACAGGCTCGGCTCACGGTCCACGGGCCGCACACGCACACCTGGGCCGCCTCACGCGCAGCTCCCTTCTTCACACGGACACACACACTCTCTCTCACACACACACACACGCAGGCTCAGCGCGCAGATAAGCGCCGGTTTGACCTACAAGGCGCTCACCTCCACGGAACACGACCAGAGGCGGAACCACACGGACTCACCTGGCCCACGTCCGCGTCGATCCTGGCCCGCTTGCAGTCCGCCTCCGGGCCGCTGGCCGCCAGCTGCGGCTCCGGCTCCGGGTCGCCTCGCTTCATCCCGCGGCTGGGGTTCGGGGCCGGGTTCGGCGTGTCCAGCTCCCTGTCCCGGTCCAGAATTCCCCGGGAGACGGGCAGCAGGAGGGACACGACCTCGGCAGACATTCACGGGCGTCTCTTGCTCTTCCTCTCCTCCTCCTCCTCCTCCCGAGCGCGACTCCGCCGATTCCCAGCTGAACGAGCGCGGCTCCGCGAGCTGTCGGGCTCTTTGTTTACTCGGAGTCACGCAGCGCCGCGGGTCCGACCGAGACCATTTCACGGCGACCGGGGCGGTGGGAGCCACGCGCGCGTGCCAGGCCAGACCCACGCAACGGGCAGCGGGGATCTCTGTGGAGCTCGGCGCGCACCCTCGCGTCTGGGATCTCGCCCCACGGGCGCGACACGCCGGGCGGATAAAGGTTTCTAATCAAAGCAGCCGCCTCGGACGCGCCCCCACGGCTGACACACGCACACGGGAGGAAACTGTATCCGACCGCCGCTGTCTGCCCCAGCCCGAGTCTCCCTGTCTTCTGGCAGGAAAAACACCTCTGTCCCCGCTCCCGTCCCGACAGAACAGCCACACGGAGGCTCCTCTATCCCGATTTTGTCATTGTCCTCAAATTATCCCTGCGGCGTGAAAGGCAGCGATTCCCTCCCTCTCTCTCCTCCCCCGTCTGTTTTTTTAAATTCCCGAACCCCTTTCTCGCTCGCTCGCCTTCCCGTGAACCAGCTCGTATCCTCGCCCCCTCTCTCTCCCTCTCTCTCTCTCTCCTCTCTCCCTCCTCCCTCTCTCTCCCTCTCTCTCTCTCTCCTCTCTCCCTCCTCCCTCTCTCTCCCTCTCTCTCTCCCGGCTCGTCCTCTGCCCGCCCGTGGCGGATGGCTAATTTTCTGTAATCGCTACCGAGTCGCTGCGCCTCCGGCTTTTACCCCACGGAACCACGCAGGCAGGGGCGCGCACGGACCCTGGCGCCGCTGGACTGGACTGGACTGGACCGGACCGGACCGCGTCGCTCCGACTCTGTGTGCGCGCGCCTGCGCGGGTCTGTCTCTGGGTCCGACCGTCTCCTTCCCTGGGCTCGCGGGCTCGGGGGGGAATAATGAGCGCTAATTAGAGCAGGACCGGGGCAGGGAGACACGCATTCCCAACCTCGGGATTTTCCGTGAGGGATAGACCGGATCTGACGGACTGCCGTGTGTTAGCGGGCGGGGGAGGGAGGAGAAGGAGTGGGGGGGCGTGCCTGCTTTCCGTCTCGTCTTCTCTCTCCTCCGCCAGCTGCGGAGCGGGGCGCGGGCTCCGCCTAGCGGGGGAGGGTGGAAGTGCGGCCTCTCGGACGCGGGTTCAGGGAGCGACCTCGCTTCCCCAGGGGGGGAGGTGATGCAGTAGGCAGAGACGCCGAAGGACTGAATTCTTCACTCTGGGCGGTGGGGTGAGACAGGGCTGCAGCCTGAGTTCACTA